ATTAGATGTTGGAAAAGCCTTTGACAAAATCCAACACCACTTCCTGATAAAAGTCCTGTATAGATCTGGGAAACAAAGGGACATTCCTAAATGTAATAAAGGCAATTTACAGCAAGCCTATATAGCCAACATCAAATTAAATGAAGAGAAACTGAAAACAATTCCATTAAAATCAGGAACAAGACAAGACTGTCCACTCTCTCCATATCTCTGCAATATAGCACTTGAAGTTCTAGCTAGAGTAATAAAACAACTAAAGGAGATCAAGGGGATATGAATTGGAAAGGAAGAAATCAAAGTATCACTATTCACAGATGATACAATAGTATACATAAGCAATACCAAAAACTCTACCAGGAAACATGTACAGTTGATAAATACCTTTAGTGAAGTGGCTGGATACAAGATTAACTAAAAAAAAAAAAAAAATCAGTAGCCCTCCTATATACAAATGATAAAGAGGCTGAGAAAGAAATCAGGAAAACAACACCAGCTACAAATAAAATATCTTGGGGTAATTCTAACCAAGCAAGTGAAAAGCTTGTATGGCAATAACTTTAAGTATTTGAAGAAAGAAATTGAAGAAGATATGGGAAGATGGACAGATCTCCCATGCTCATGGATCAATACGATTAACAGTAAAAATGGCAATCTTACCAAAATCAATCTACAGATTCAACACAATCCCTATCAAATTCCAACACAATTCTTTACAGACCTTGAAAGACAATACTCAACTTCATATAGAAAAAAACAAAAAATTCAGGATAGCTAAAACAATCCTGTACGATAAAAGAACTTGTAGCAGCAGCAGCAGCAGCAGCAGCAGCAGCATCCCTGGTTTCAAGCTCTACTATAGAGCTATAGTAAGAAAACCACATGGTATTGGCATAAAAATAGACAGGTGGCTCAATGGAATTGAATTGAAAACCCAGACATAAATTGACACACCTATTGACACCTGTTTTTTGGTAAATAAGCCAGAAATATACAATGGAGAAAAAAGCATCCTCTTCAACAAATGGTGCTGATCTAACTGGGTGTCGGCATGTAGAAGAATACAAATAGCTCCATTTCTATCACCCTGCACAAAACTCAAGTCCAAGTAGATCGAAGACCTCAACATAAAACCAGATACACTGAACCTGATAGAAGAGAAAGTGGGGAATAGCCTTGAACACATTGGCACAGGGGACAACGTCCTGAACAGAGCACCAATAGGGCAGGCAGTAAGTTGGACAATTAATAAATGGGACCTCTGAAACTAAAAAGCTTCTGTAAGGCAAAGGACACTGTCAACAGGACAAAAAGGCAACCTACAGAATGGGAAAGATCTTCACCAATCCCACATCTAACAGAGGGCTGATCTCCAAAATATATAAAGAATTCAAGAAACTAGACATAAAAAAAAAACAAATAATCCAATTGAAAAATGGGGTACAGATCTAAACAGAAAATTCTCAACAGAAGAATTTCAAATGCCAGAGAAACACTTAAAGAAATGTTCAACATCCTTAGCCATTGGAGAAATGCAAATCAAAATGACTCTGAGATTCAGGCTTATACCTGTCAGAATGGCTAAGCTCGACAGCACAAGGGACAGCTTGTGCTGGAGAGGATATGCAGCAAGAGGAACACTCCTCCACCGCTGGTGAGAGTGCAAACTTGTACAGCCACTTTGGAAATCAATATGGTGGTTACTCAGAAAATTGGAAATTGATATACCTCAAGACTCTGCTATCTCACTCCTGGCCATATACCCAAAGGATGTTTCATCTTACCACAGGGACACTTGCTCACCTGTGTCATAGCAGCTTTATTCATAATAGCTAGAAACTGAAAACAACCTAGATGTCCCTCAACCAAAGAATGGATAAAGAAAATGTGGTACATTTACACAATGCAGTACTACTCAGTGGTTTTTAAAATATAACATCATGAAATAATCTGGCAAATGTATGAAACTAGAAAAAAAAACATCCTGAGTGAGGTAACCAAGACCCAGAAAGACAAACATGGTATGTACTCACTTATAAGTGGATAATAGCAGTAAAGGATAATCATGCTATAATCCACAGACCCAGAGAGGCTAAATAATAAGGAGGGCTCAAATGGGGACGCATGGATCTCCCTGGGAAGGGGACATAGAATAGATTTCATGGGTGGACTGAGGGGCAGGAAGGAATGGAAACAGGAAGGATCAATCAGGTGGGGTGGATTGGAGGAAAAGAGTACTGTGAGTGATGACTGGAGTTGTGGGATATTTCAAGGATGAGATAGAAACCTAGTGCGATGGAAACTCCCTGGAATTTGAGGGTGACCCTAGCAAAGACTCCTAGTTAATAGGGAATATGGAACCTGAACTGATAGATCATCTTCTGTAATCAAGCAAGGCCTCCACTGGAGGGCCTGGTACACCAAACTAGCCGCAAACCTTCAACTTACAATTTGTCCTGCCTGAAAGATGTACTCGGGTAAGGGTGGTGCAGAACTTGTGGGAGTGGCCAACCAATGACTGGTCCAACTTAAGACCCATGCCACGAGAGGGAGCCCATGCCTGACGCTGCTTGGAAGGCAAGGAACCAGAGGCTGGATAAGCCCAGAGACCCAGGATAGAACCAAATACAACTGCCGAAAAAACAAACAAACCAGTCAATTAAATGATTCCTAATGATATTCTGATATACTCATAGACCAGAGCCTAGCATAATTGTCATCAGAGAGGTTTCATTCAGCCATTGATAGGAGCAGATGCAGAGACCCACAGCCAAACAATAGGTGAAGCTTGGGGAATCCTGTGGAAGAAGGAGAAAAAGGATTGTAATAGTCAGAGGGGTCAAGGACAACACAAGAAAACAGCCCACAGAATCAACTAACCAGGACCTATAGGTGGTCATAGAGACGAGTGATAGTCAGGGAGCCTGTGTGGGTCTGATCTGGGTCCTCTACATATGTATGGTATGGTTGTGAAGCTTGGTGTTCTTGTGGGACTCCTAACAGTGCGAGTGGGTCTATCTCTGACTCTTATTTCTACTCTTGGGACCCTTTTCCTTCTACTGGTTTGCCTCATCCAGCCTTGATACGAGGGTATGTGCCTAGTCTTATTGCATCCTATAATGTCATGCTTGGTTGACATCCCTGGGAAGCTTGCTCTTTTTTGAAGGGAAGCAGAGGAGGAGTGGATCTAGGGAAGAGGAAAGGTGGGGCAAAGGACTGGGAGGAGAGGAGGGAGGGGAATCTGGTCAGGAAGTAATATATGAGAAATAAGTTTTTAAAATACTTTTTAAAAAAGCTAAGTAGGACAAAGACAAATTCTCTTATGTAGCTGTGTCTATTTTCTAACTCTTTGGTTCTATTGTCCAGTTGTCTGTGTGCCATGTGGGAGTCCAGCTCCGACCTGTCAAAGGGTTCTTGGCAGGGAGGAGAGAGGAATGAGGAAGTATTAGATAGAAATATAGGTGGAGACGATAAGAAAGACAGACACAGGATAGCTTTGGGAGGGCCCTGGGTCAATACCCAGTTGCCCAGACTTTTACTCAAATGGGCTTTTTATACACTACCAAGGGGAGAGGCAAAAGACCTCCCCCTTTCAAGATCAAAGCACCAATATACAGCCAAGTATAGCCCCTATAAAACACCTGGTACCGACACCTTTGGCCTGATCATCCTATTATGCAGCTCTGCTGGACAAAGCAAGCTGAGACTTTCTGACCTTGAGTAAGATCTTACTAGGAAGCCTCTGTGGGCCCCCACAGTGCCAGAATAACAAGTTTTCCCTCACCATGGCCATTTAATCACTCCTCTAATATTTAGAGAGGAAAGTCTATCCCTCACTTCTACCCTCATGCCAAGCAGCTCTTTAAATTTTTTCCTAATGCCTTTTTTATCCTCTCATATAAATGTTTCATTAATTTCCACCAACGATATTATGAATACTTAAGTAATTACCTTTTCACACTCATATGAAAAATTATTGCAGTTCTTTGGCTGACATTGTTTCATTATTATTAATTCTGTTCTTTGACAATTTCATACACGTATGTATGTAATTCATTATTATTACTCTTTCCCCTACATACCCCCATCCCTACCAACCTCCCCATTCCCTTTCCCAGATGTATGACTTGTAGTTTTGTTTTATGACCATTTAGCTTAACCTGGGTCATCTGTGTGGTCGTTGAATTGAAAGTATCCACTGGAACCTGATGGGGTCACGAGTGGTTATACAACTGAAGGCAACACATTCTCTTCTTCCCAAGTGTATTTGTAGCAAATAGTTCAGTAGTGATGGATAGGGACCTCTGAGCCCCTTCCCATCCCTGCCTGACTGTTAGTGGCCCTGTTACTGTGCAGAACTAATACAGACACAGCTGCTGTAAGTTTGTGATTTCAGTTTGCATTTAAATGAGGAGTGCATGATATGGTGGCCCCCAGTAGACCTGTAGACCAAGTGCTCAGGAGGCTAACAGGAGCAGGCTTCCAAATATAAGACCAGTGGGCTCCATAGAGAGCCCATAACCTCAGTGGCTGCCCTTGCTTTGCTTTTGAGACAAGGTCTCACTCTGCACCCCAGGCTGGCCTTAGGCCATAGCCACCCCACACTTCTCATGTGCCTGATGCCATCTCACCCTATCCTGTGGCTCCTTAGTCTGTCTCACCTTTATGAGTATGGACGTATGTAGGGAGCAAGGGCCCTGCCTCTACCCCGCAGGCTACCCGGGGTTTCTAAATCCCTTCTTTTCTATGCGCTTGTTAATTTAAGAAGGTGGGGTCCCAAATAGGGATATCCCCACAATAAAGTCTGTCACTGTTTGGGAGGAATAAAAGCAAGGAGGGAAAGAGAAACGGATGACGTGAGACAGGGAGAAGAGGGAAGGTGGCCCAGCATCATTTCTGAATGAAATGGCCGTTCATTATAAACCTTAGTGTAGTAGTTGATCCATGATCTATTAGTAAGTGAAATTTAACATTTTGAGGTGGATTTTTGTTCTCCTTTCCAGCTTTAAAATCTGAAGGGGATGATTACTATATTAACGGTGCCTGGACTATTGACTGGCCTAGGAAATTCGATGTTTCTGGGACAGCTTTCCACTACAAGAGACCAACAGATGAACCAGAATCCTTGGAAGCCCTAGGACCCACCTCTGAAAACCTCATTGTAATGGTAAATGTGTCTTTGCCATTATATTTTTACTGCAATTTCCACATTATGGGGTAGGAAAGGGTCATGTTTGATTAGCTCTGTTTTATACAGGTGATGGAACTAAGACAATAAAGCTAAAATGATTTGCCCAAGGGTGTAGATGCTGCAGAGTAAAGTAGATCTCTTGTCAGATGACTTTCATGGTTTTTTGGGTTGTTTTGAGACAGGGTTTCTCTGTGTAGCCCTGGCTGTCCTGGAACTCACTATGTAGACCAGGCTGACCTCGAACTCACAGAGATCCACCTGTCTCTGCCTCCCGAGTGCTGGGATTAAAGGCGTGCGCCACCACCGCCCGGCTTTTCATGTTTCTTGAGTAAAAGTTATATGATCAAGCAGTATAGATGAAAACAGTGACAAAGTACCCATGAACAGAAAAAGTTTGTATTTTATGTAAATTCGTGTGCTTTGAAGTTGTCCCGGAGGCCACTGAGACGCCTCATCAGATAAAGGCCTCTGTCACCAAGCCTGACAACCCCAGTTCAATCCCCATGGTTCACAGGATAGAAGGAAAGGACCAGCTTTGGCAGGTGCCCTCTGACCTCTCCGTGCTCCAAGGCATGTGCTCAGCCCTCTCTAACCAATAAATGAACAAAAATGTGATAATTTTTTAAGTTGTCTTGCGCTCAGGGTCAGCCTGGACCACAGACTGAGACTGTCCAGAAGATAAAGTAAATAAAGACATGTTCCAAATTTCCTGTAAGACTTGCTCTGTGCCATTTTCTTCTTCAGAAGAAATAATGAATGTCTGAATGAAGGCTCATTGTGTCTTAATTATCTTCACCAGTTGTTTTCAATGGCAGGTTCTACTCCAAGAACAGAATTTGGGAATTAGGTACAAGTTCAACGTTCCCATCGCTCGTCCTGGCAGCGGAGATAATGAAGTTGGCTTTCTGTGGCATCATCAGCCCTGGTCAGAATGCTCAGCTACCTGTGCTGGAGGTAAGACACCCACTAGGCAGCCCACAGCTGGCAGTGTGGGAAGCCAGACCTACTCTGAGCTGTGTTTTCTGTTTGCTAAAGAAGCTAATTGGAAACATTTTTTGCAGGTTTGCTTCAAGCTGTAATTTAGCAAAAGAAACTTTGCTTAATTATATTACATTGTGTTTGTTTCAACCTCATGTAATTTACACAGATTTGTTGGTAAAATACATCTTGGCACAATGAGTATCTCTGCTGGTGCTTCTCCAAGACTATTTTGAAGGTGGGCTGTTTGCTTTTCATGAACACATTCTTGGTAAAGAACATCAAGAGTTTTAAATTAAAAACCAGCAAGAATCAGACGTCACAGATGCAACTTGTTGTAATGGGGCATGAGAATGTATGTGTGCTTGTATGCTTGTGTTTGTACAATTGCGTGTTTCCCACAACCCCATTCAAACTCCCTCCTCCAGCCTTCGAAGTTAAGGGGCAATATACTGGGATGCTACATGAATTACTAGTGTCTGGGTCTCTGGGCTGACAATGTGTAGTGAACCCACTCTAATCCCTCAGCGAGGTAGCCGTAGCTGGTAGGCAGTGGTTGGTGATGTGTTGGTTGTCCCATGTGCGTTTTTCATGGGTGCCTTTTCCCCACAATTTACTCTATTCCTAATCCTCCTCCCTCTAGTGGCCACCAATGCAATTCTTTACCTCTGGCTGGGAGAGCAGGACAGTTGGCTTCCTTCAAAGCCAACACCCTTGCTGCTTCATGGACTGGTGAGTAGAAGTGCTGTGCGAGCAGCATCTTCCTTCTCTCTGGAGACTGAATGCACCACCTCCACCACAGAGCTTTCCTACAGTAGGCAAGGAGCAAACCCATCCTCCAAGGCCAGGGAGGCCTGGAGTACCTCACCATTCCAAAACCAAAGGAAACGTTTGAAATAATAATAGTGAGAATGCTGAAGTTAAAATAAATGACACAGTCCCATGCTAAACTGTGCAAGAGCATATACAGTCCATGGACCTTTGTCCATGTATCCATTGGACCTCCAAATGCCTCAAGTGTTTGAATAGGAAAAAAAATATTTTCAGAAAATTGATTACCATATAACAGAACCCATACCTTTGAGTCATAAAAATTAAAATCATCATTACTATAACTCTACTTTTAGTAGTAAAGACTACACAACATGAAAAATAAAAAAAGATGAATAATGCTCTATTAATATTCATTCATATGAAATATCATAAAATATGGTTAAGTAGAACTTGCAATCTATTTTAAAAGTTCTCCTCTTCCCACCCATTTTATGTGTGCAATGTCTGATGACTTATAATATAAAGTTTTCAAAACTATACTGCATCACCACTTCTTTTAATAAAATATAATGACTAATACCACTGCAGATTATTCTCAATTAATTCACTTTTTGTTCCCATAAGGGCTACTGCATTATATTTAATGTCATTTATACATAAATCTTTATTTGTGCTAATTAAATCACTTTGAGTTAATCTATGAATTAATCTTCCCCTTTCTACCTATCAACAAAAAAAAAACATTATTAGGATAACATATATTTAAGTAGTATAAATAAGTAAACTTATTAAGAGTAGAATAAAGTTATTAAGGATGAGTCCAAATAATTTAAGGTTTAGGCATTCTGAGAAGGATGCCCTAAAGCTGAGGCCAGCTGACTTAGGGAAGAGAAGGCATTGTAGTATTTTCAAGTACACATAGAACACAGAATGGGGAGCCCCGCTGCCTGTTCCTTTGCTCAATTGCTCTACTTGAGGATGATTTAGACACAGTCTTGTCTGAGGCCAAGAAGAAATTAAATGAATTCCCAATGTTCTTTCAACCCTCTGATTCTATTTGTTCAGAGAGCACAGAGTCGACAAAGGTGGAGGAGGCATGAAAACTTAATTCAAAGGAGAACTGTGAATTTTTTGAAGTAAAACATATGAAAATTCTAAATGAGTCATTCTTTTCCGTAACATTCATATTGAAAAATGGAAGTGATTTGTGAATGAGGAAAAACCTAAATAAAAAGAAAAGCCCCTTGAAGGAGAGGTTTCTTTTCCATAGTATAAACTACTTTGAATCTGGAGCTACTGATCTTATATTTGAGGTGGTTCTGGGACCCCAAACTCTGCTTGAGTGTGAGTGATTTCGAGCATTTATGAGGCCCTGGCTTCTGTTGAGAGAGGGAGGTCAGTGACTGAAAGGTGACAGATTTGTGTGCAGAGTCGTCATTTGTCTTGTTCATCCACGTGTGATCTGGGGACCAGCTGCCTCAGCATCAGTTAGGGATTCACTGAGTAGCTGATTCGATGCCTGTGTCAGAACTCCTTCAGAGAAACTGAATAGGTTCTGTGTTTTCACAAGCTTCCACATGGTTCTGGTGCCCACACAAGATTTTGGAACACTGTGGCTTTCAGAGCAACTGAAACCTAGCACCATAGGTATATAGAGTTCAGGGCCTGGTCACTGAAGTCTGCATCTTTGAGAACTCATTTTGCTCCTAGTGCAATATCAGGAACTTTCTAGGAAAACAATAAGCATTTATAAACAGTAAGTGGTTATGAGCACTCATGAGGCCATGAAACAATAATTTTGACAAATGTCTTATTTTCATTTCCTGTTGATGTGATAAAATCCCCCTGACAAGAACAACCTGAGGAAGAAGGGGCTTATTTAGTCACAATTCTAGGTTACAGTCCATCATTGCAGGGAAGCCCAAAGTCAAGACACAGGAACTTGAAGCAGCTAGTCATGTGACGTCCACAGTCAAGAGCAGAGCAGAGTGAATAATGCGTGTGTGCATCCAGTGCTCAGCTTGTTCCCTATTCCTAGACAATCCAGTATCCCTTACCCAGAGAATGGTGCAACCACTGTGGCGGGTCTTCCCACTAATCAAGACAATCCCCCCAGACATGCCCACAGGCCAACCTAATCTAGACGATTCTTCATTGAGACCCCCTTCCCAGGTGACTCTAGACTATGTCAAGTTGACAACTAGAACTCAAGATCAAAAAAAGTATGTATACCTCTTATTTCCCTTGTAGGAAATGAGATGTTCTAGGACAGGCATCCTGATGTAGATACCAGCTCTTGAACTGATTCCTCCTGTATGTGCCTCTATTTTTAATTCTAGATTCTTTAAATACTGGAAGCTTGTGTTTGAAGGAAGTAAAGTTCCTTAGAGCTCAGGAATGTTAATCAAAGAAAGAGGCCAGAGTCATCTACCATCATGCCAAAAAGGGAGTTTATTTACAGTTAAAGACCTTTTAGGAAAACGCATTTCTGCATACATTTTACTCAGAAACTGGGGAGAAAAACTAAAGTTATTTCTTAATTATGATATTCTTCTCTGATCTCACCAGGGAGGTAGTGGGAGCCTTGAAGCTCTCAAAGTTTGAAGTGGGAAAAGAGTTAGAGCTCTCCAAGAGCTTTCAGTTGGAGTCTCACAAGGTCCCCTGTGTTGTTCATTATTGCTCTGTATGTGCTTTACCGACATCACGACCTTTGAACTATGAGTCAGGGAGCAAGAATGATAGTTTTCTATGATGAGATATTTGAAGATAAGAAATTAAAAACTGTTTTTCTGTCGCTTAGCAGACCCAGTGACAAATCTAATATACAGGAAACATTGGTGATGATTCATTTCAAGTGATGGTTGCTCTGAGTCACTGATGAAGCGTTTCCTTGGGCTGATGGGGAACATTAAGATGTTATGGGGTGTTGTCTTCGGATAAATGTGACTATTAAAACAACTGTAATTCTTCTGTGAGAACCCAGTAAATTAAAACCTTCCTACTTTCAGAAACCTTGCTACTTCTCTTAGAATTTATTTCTTTATGCCTTATCCAAACTATTATGTACTGTGTAATTTAAATAAGTGCCTAATATGCTATTATTGGATTAATGACCATAATCATGTGTTAATTGATAAAGCTTGGCTTAATAATGAAAGTAATATTGTTTTATGATATAAAATTCTAGAACCCGTTTTTGAGTAGTAATTCACACCATATAATATTTGCTCCATGGGTTTTAAAGGTTAAAACAGCAGTCACTTTATACTTGCCCATTGGTTTTAGTTATTACATACCTCTTTACTAATACTTGCCTAGATGTGTTGTTCTCAAAGTTTAACACACATCAGAACTACAGGAGGGTGTCTTTAAAACAAGGATTGCTAGGCTCTGCCTCCAGTTCCTGACTCAGAAGTACAGGTCTTGATAGTTTAGGAGCCTTACTCCAGTAACTGGGCTAGATACAAATGCTTAGTAAAGCTACATGACAATCTCTATTTGATTTAATTACAAGTGGCTCTGTGACCTGGCTGTTTAATAACAGATGAATAATATATAGTTTATAAAATATATTCTGATGCCTAGTATCCTTTAATCATCCTCAACAACCACACAAAATAACCTTTGCTGTGATGAGTTTTTATTATATATGTAAACTTCAAGTTAAGTTTTTATTTGCAGTTCAGCAGTTGAGTCTATTAATAGTTTAACATAGTGTTTTTCTAATAATAAAAATTGGATACTTTGAACAAAGCTTTTTCACCACTTAGCACCTCTATAGAGAAACTTGCTAGATATCCACCCAAAAGTATTTCCTTCACCAACTTGAAAGTTCATTCAGAAACCTTGCGCAGAACCATGACTCTTAATTCTGACACATATTGGAAAGACAAGGCTCTAAATGTTGCTGAGATCCTGATACTTGGGCCCCCGACACCCCTGCGTTTTATAAATGGTTGGGAGTTTAGTCTGAGCATCAGATTTTTAAAAGATATCTTGGTAATTCTTAAGGTGCAATCCATATTTTAACATTTATTGGTTTTGTTATGAATTAAAAGTTTTAGTCCTAAATACACTAACATCACTTATTAATTGGCTATGAGTTAAATGCAAAGGTTGATGAGATCCAGGAAGGAGTGTTTGGGGTGAAAAACAGAGAGCAACATCACTGAACAGAGTGGAAGAAGTGGCAAAATGGCAAT